ATCATATTTTAATTTTTTTTTGTAACAAAGAACAATTATCTAACGAACTTTTTATTACGTACAACAAATTTAGGTGGTTGGTCCCACACATTCATTATGACCGTATTTTCAAAAAGAAATTTTCAAATTTTTTTAAAATATCATATCAAAAAAATCCAACAATAGTAATACCAAATAACGGATGATTCACTTTATGATAAACTTGGTAATTATCTTAGACCAGAATTACCTGATACTGGTGAGGAAGGAAAACAAGTGTTCAACCAATGCAAGAAATTGAGGAACAAGAAGAATATGAAGATACTGAGGTGATCGGGTATATATTTATCATATTAAGTTCTTCCTTTACATTTTATTTATATGTAAATAATAATAAAGCAACAATAATACACCAATTATATCAGAAGAAAAAATATTTAATAAATGAAAATAGCACTTGTTAACTATTTTCAAGGTTGTGTTATATGATTTTTTAATGCACCAGTAAAGAGTAATTTTTTTCATTTAAAATGCAAAAAAATTTTTTTTTTTGTTAAAAAAAAAAGCACTGATAATTAATTATGAATAACTCTACAAATGTAACCATCTAGATAGAAGGTTATAGGGATGATTCTTAGATGGTAATGGTACAGGAAGAACAAGATCCATACAAATCCAATAATTGTGTGATAATAATATATTATTTAAATATAATCACAACTAACTGAAGTATAGATATATACATACACATAGTAACAAATTTATTGATATTAGACTTTACTTTTCGTCTTTATGAATTTTAACTTAATAAATATCAAGTGATTTATACAGTTCACTCTCTATAATGAACCATTTGGCTTACAAAAAAATGTCCGCAATGATTTATATATGGGATATATAAATTGGGCTTAAACTCTCAGTTCTTTATAGAGAAAGATCTATTATAGAGATAGAGAGATCCATCATAGAAGGATAGCAATAGAGAGATATGTTATAGAGAGTGAACTATAACTATGTGAGTTGAGAATTTATGGCATCTGAAATTTTTTCTTTTATTATTAAGATGTATGAATAAATTTACATTTACGAAAAAAAATGATGAGAAAAAAAAATTATTTAATTAGCTCACTCGCTGTCATCTAAAAATTCACATGAAATAACTACTTTTGTCAATTGATGCAATTGAAGATAGTGAGAAGAGCATTTTAAGCACATTTCGCATTTTTTCTATATTTGATTGGTTTCTTGCGGTGTTTTTTAGGAGGTAGTATGGGTGGTTTAATACCATGCTATAATTAACCAATATATATATATATTAATCATTAGTAATCGATAAATTATATGTATTAATTATTCCTAACAATAAAAATTGTTTACTTTTCTAAGCCTGTGTCGAGGCTCGTATTGTTTAGCAAGTTCAGCATCTTCATATATTAATGCAAACCCATTAGAACGATTACCATCATATGTAGTTCTCATAGCAAATACAAAGACAACATCTTTGTTGACTCCAAACATTTTACAAATTTGATTTTGAATTTCACGATTTGATAAACGAGGTTTGTTGGGGTGTAAAACATCAATTACTAATTGTTTACGATGTGCTGCGAGATTTTCTTTAAATTTTCTAACTCTAAAAGCGATCGAGTTATCTTTAATATTTTTAATCTTGTCAAACACTGTAACCTTTTCAAACTCTATGTTCTTGTTAACCTTTTTACCTTTTCCGGTCTTTCCATATTAAATTTAGATAATGTATTAGGCATTTATATTTTAAAAAACAAATAAATAAATTATTGAAAACCTTTATATCAACAAACCCTTTGTTTCATTTTGTTGTTTTGTTAATTTTTTGGTGAAAAATTTGAAAAATAAAAAAAGGAGGTGAGTGATGCGCGTTTATGGTAAACAAAACACCATTTGTACGACTGTACGAATGACGCGAAAATTAAAATAGTTGCTTCAAATATAATCATCATGTGACATATTATAAAACCAAATCCTAAGATTTCCTACACAAGATCATATAGTAACTTTTTTAAATGCGTCATTTATTGAACATTTGGATTCTAATACGGACAATAATCAATTCATAAACTATGTGAACAAGCTAATCATATAACATGTAAATCTCTTGGTGAATCTTATATTGAAGAAATAAATATATTGAAACAAAAAACGTTGAAGTATTGAAATCGGAAAAACACAGTTCAATTGATAACAATGATAGAGAAGAAGCGTCTAAAATTGATAAAGAAAATATAATCCCAATTGGAAAAAAAACTCTTATTTTTTTTAATCAGTATTAATTTTGATCCTATTCTCAGAACACCAAAGGAACAATTACAAGATGCGAAATATTGGCCATAATCGTGCTACTTGTCCTCTTAATAAAACAAATGAGGTGGGATGAATTAGTATATAATTTAATATAAAATTTATTTTGTCAGTGATTTTTATCCTGCCTACGTTTTTGTGCAGGTACGCAGAAACAAAGACCCGTGATTTTTTTTTTTATGGATTAAAATAATTCTTTACTTGATTAAAATATTTTGTTTTAAAAGAAAATATTATCTATATATAAGTATGATTTAACATCACTAGCAATAGCCATGTCCAAATGTTTCAACCGAAATCCTGTAGATTGTAGCATTCTTGATTTTTTAAACGAGTACGATCTAGAACCGTTTGACCTAAATATAAAAGTTCCTTGAAGCAATCGTTAAAGATAAGCAAGACGAGATGTTCTGAAAGAACACAATTGCTCCAAAACTAGTGTTGGTGCACAGGTGACCTATATATTAGGTATTGATTGGCTAATTTTGGTGCGTCGAACAAACAAGTGATTGAGTCGTGTGATTTTATAATATTGATCGATGAGTGTAGCTCAAATGTCAATTCAAACTCGGCCATACATTTTGGGACCATTTAATAACATTTATCTCAAATTTCTTTTAGGATCAGGATTGATTATTATATTTGGTCAATAATTATGACATTACGACATTATGGCTTAATATTAATTATCAATATTATCAAGAATATCATTTCTATTTTGGGATTTGATTGGCCATGCAATTTACTTCAATTGAAAAAGGCATGACAACCTTTTTTCTCTCCTTCAAAAAGATTTTTGCATTCTTAATTCTTTTTCAAAAGATAGTTAGAAATAATGACAACAATGATATAAATGATAATAATACTAATCGCGTTGTTAATAAAGAAGATAAAGGTAAAACATCATTTTTTGTTAGAGCAGAAGATAATTCGTAATTACTAAAATTTTTATTAAATTCTTTGAATATGCATTGATAAAAATCATAGAGTGCAGACCACGGCCACCCTCCTATATATAAAAAATAAAACAGTATAAAATATATAATGATAATCCAAAACGGATCTTTTCGGTACGTAAGTCACAAGGATGCAGAAAAGAAGCCAACAAAAACATAAAGTGGGTTAAGATCAATAATGCCAGTTATTTCTGTCAAATTACATGACATTTTCCGACTTCTATAAGAATATTGTAGATGCTTTGAAAAATAAAGAATGACGTTACCATCAGTTTACAAATCCCCCCTTTTTAATTTTGATGATGAAATGCATCAATCATCTAGAACGACAAGCGCGGGCTTTGACTGCGGTGACTTCTAATTTGTAAAGTTGCTTATAATATTACATTATTATTATTATGAAATATTTATGCGACGTAATGTTGCAGTATTCATTGATGCCCGTGTAACTTTAATGATTTCTTTTTCTAATCAATGATATAATTATTTCAAAAGTTATTATGAGGTCTCTGCCAAATATTTCTTTGAGTTTCAAAAGGTCAATTATGAGAACATTAAGAGTAATAATTATTATTACCATTAAAACCATAAATTTTTAATTTACTCCAGTCATATTCAAATCAATCAAATCCATCACGTTCGTTGAGAAAAACTTTTATATTGAAATAAAAATATATTTATTTAAATAGCTAAAAAATCACAGGTTATTATAAATACACTCTAAATTCTATGAAAATTGATTTCGCAAAGCACGAATCCTTTATCTACGTCCTGAATTTCCCATAAAGTGATTTGTATCATTGGATGACGGAATATGCAGTATATCTCCTCCAATTTGATTATGGCCATTATTATTATTATTATTGTTATTAT